CAAAAAAATGAAGTATCTAGAAATCAATCTAACAAAAGAAGCAGAAGACCTCTACACTGAAAGCTATAGTACTCTGAAAAAAGAGATCGAAGAGGATATAAGAAAATGAAAAGATATCCCCTGCTCCTGGGTAGGAAGAATCAACATAGTGAAAATGGCCATACTACCAAAACTGCTATACAGAGTCAATGCAATGCCAATTGAAATTCCAACACTATATTCCATAGGACTAGAAAAAAGAATCCAAAAATTCATTTGGAACCAGAAGAGATGGCAAAAGCCATCCTAGACAACAGAGACATGGTAGTGTGTATAACAATCCCCAATTTGAAACTATACTACAAAGCCGTTGTGATAAAAATAGCATGGTACTGGCAAAGAAAGAGACCCGAGGATCAGTGGAACAGATTGGAAGACACAAAAACAACTCCAGATGCACTCAGCTACATCATCTTTGACAAAGGAGCTGACCATCCCCACTGGAGGAAAGATAGCCTCTTTAATAAATGGTGTTGGAAAAACTGGATCTCATCCTGCCAAAGATTAAAACTAGATCCTTGTCTTTCACCATGCACTAAATTAAAATCCAAGTGTGTTAAAGATCTAAATATTAAAACAGAAACACTAAACTTGCTGGAAGATAAGTTAGGCGGAACTCTTGAAGACACTGGCATACGAAAAGATTTTACGAACAAATCCTCAGTAGCAGGGGAACTAGCAGAAAGAATCAACAACTGGGATCTCATCTTTTTATTAAAAAGCTTCTGAACTGCAAAAGAAAGCATCAACAGAACTAAGAGACAACGTACAATGTGGGAAAAAACTTTTATCTGTTGCTCCTCAGACAAAGGACTATAATCTAGAATATATAAAGAACTCAAAACTATCAGCACCCCCAAATATAAGGACCCCATTCAAAAACAGGCATCTGAAATGAACAGGCATTTCTCAGACAAAGAAGTAAAAGCAACAAGTAAATATATGAAAAAATGTTCCACATCACTGGTCATTCCACAGATGCAGATGAAAACCACACTGAGGTTCCACCTCACCCCACAAAGAATGGCTGCTATCAAGAAATCACACAATAACAAATGTTGGTGGGGTTGTGGGGAGAAAGGAACCCTTCTCCATTGTTGATGGGAGGGCAGATTGGTGCAACCACTATGGAAATGAATATGGAGATACCTCAAAGAGCTGGGACTAGAGGTTCCATTTGACCCAGCCATCCCTCTGCTGGGTATCTTTCAAAAAGAATTAAAAGAATCATATCAGAGTGATATATGTGCACCTATGTTTATAGTGGCACAGTATGTAATAGCTAAAACTTTCAAACTGCCCATTTGCCCATCAGTTGGAAACTGGATAAAGAAGGTGTGGTTTTTCTATAAAATGGAATACTACTCAGCCATAAAGAATGAGAAATTAGATTCATTCATAGGAAAATGAATACATATTGAGGATATACTCCTAAGTGAAATAAGTCACACATGTGTAAATACCAAATAGTTTCTCTGGTGTGCATAAACTTTAATAGTACCTAAGATCCTAATGATATAATGGACAATGTGAAATAGGAAAAGCAGGTAGGGAAGGGTCGGGGAAAGCTAATTAGGGGAAAAATATGAGAAAATGAAAAAATGGAAATGAAGTGTTTGTAAATGGGGAGGGGAGGAGGGGGTGAAGGAAGGGCAGGGTCAAGAGGAAAAAATGAGAACCAAGACCTGTCATGTAAAGGTACAAGATCCCAATAATGAATGTAACTGTACTGTGTACCTAAAATGTACCAATAAACTCAATGAGGAAAAAAATGTCTACTTTAATCCTCTCTTCTTTTTCGTGAAGCACAACAGGTCAACAATGACCTCTCTTACCTCCTGAAGCAATTTCTTCCATCCTTATGGGGTGAGGAACAGCTCCCCTTCCCTGCCCGTTCCCAGTACGGCTGACTCCTGAGCCTTGCCTCACAGGCAGCTCCTCCCTGATCCGGAAGGACCTATGGCCAGACCTGTTTCACAGCGAGGCCGTTCCCTCCTCCTCCAGGTGGAGCAATGGCACCCGTTTGACACCCCGTTTCCACCTCACGTTGGATTTGTTCCTGCTTTACTATTACGTGCTTGCAGGATGACTACATTTGTCATGGGAGGTTGGTATACATCGTTCTTTTTTTTCTGGACCACTACCCCTCCCCTTTCTCTGTTTCAACTCTTGGTTCCCTTCCCATTTGCAAAAGCTCTATTTTCATTTTTTCTTTAGGTCCTTTTTTCCATCCCTTTTTTCTCCTTCCTTCTCCCTCTTCCATCTCTTGTTCCCCCATTAATTTGAAAAAGGTTTCCTTATTCCTGTTAATCTTCTATTTTATCCCTTACTTACATAACATATTTTTGAGTTTCTCATATAAGAGAAAAATGCAGTATGTAAGCTTGTGCATCTGACTTATTTTACTTAATAGCACGGTCTCAAGGTGCATCTATATACCTACGATGGCCAAGTGTATCTTCCTGCCAGAGTAGTACTCCACTGTGTGTAAATACCCACTCTTTATCCATTTCTCTGTTCACAGGCACAGAGGCTGCTTCCAAGATTAGCCATTAGGAACCATCCTAGTATAAACTGAAATGAATATACACCTCTCAGAATAACTACAAATGGCCAATACATACATGAAAAACTGTTTGACAACATTGGCCATTATAGCAATGCAACTTAAAACAACCCTGAGATTTCTTCTTTGCCCTGAAAGAATGGTTATCATCAAGAAATCAAATAATAACACATACGCCTTAAGATCCCTGATAACTGCTATGCACAAAAACGCCGGCTGGGGGCGCTGTGAGTGTCTGCGGGCGTCACAGGGGCCAGGAGAGTCCCAGCTTCCCAACATTAACCGTTCCCTGAGCTGACAGGCAGTCAGTGTCCCACTAATGCATCAGGCAAACCACGCAGGTTAGAAATGACATCTCTAACGTGGGAAGCTGAAGGCATGCTTGCGGAAACGGGATGATAAAACTTCGGGTGTCACGGCATGAACAGAAAAAAATTGAGTGGAGAGCAGGCCAGGCTTGGCTCATAGGTGTGAGGCCGACAACGTCCCAAGGCGAGCAGAAGCTCTATGCACCCAAACGTCGGCCAGCAGAGCTGCTGGAGAGGGACAAGGGGACAGACCGGCACCCGAGGGTCCTGGCCGTGTGGACGCCATCCAGACCTGGGCATCCAGGCAGGCAGCCCTGTGAGGCAGGCAGCTACTGTTACAATGGAGCTTGCAGTTGAACAATGAGAAATTCTGTACAGACGGTACATGAGAAGTACTGACACTTGCAAGTGCAGTGACACAGAACGGGAATCCTATACATCTTGGGCCACAGATGTTCCCGTCTATGTGTAACAAGGAGTGACAGAAATGACCACGCCCATCATGGCAGCTGTATTTGTGAAAATTTGCTGCATAGGTATCTTGTGTTCTGATCTGGCTTTTTGAGACTGGCTAGTTTTTGGAGGCAGGGTCTTAGTCACATAGTCCAAGCTGGCCTTGAACTGTCTACTTAGCCCTGGCCTCAAACTTGTGATCCTCCTGCCTCAGCCTACTAGAGTGCTGGGATTATAAGTGTGCATCACTCTCTCTGGCTGCATAGGTCCCATGCTTTAATGACCCCACATTTCAAAATACTATGGTCTCACTTCACAAGTATCTAGTTCTAAACATAATTTAGAAAACAACCAATATCTTAAGTTATACAGCACAAGTCCTACTAAGACAACTAACTTCCTGGTAATAGTAATAGTCTAAAGCTGGACTAAAAGTAATTTAAAAACAGCCCCAAAATACGAGGGCCAGACAAAAGTAGTCTACTGATGTCAGGTAACACCACTGTACAGTTTTATTGTAGTCATATAATTTTGTGACCTCAAAAATAGCAGTTTTTATGGAAGATTAACAATTTTTTTCCTGACAGTTAAACCTTAAAGAAATGAGCCTGCACAAAAGTCAGAAGAGAAAGAAAAAAAAAATTCACTATGGGAGTTCAGCACTTTCAAAGACCAGTCAGACACCAGAGGCTCTGCGTTACCAAGGCGTCAGGAACTCAGCCCTGTCCTGCCCTTGGCTGTGACCGGTGGGCGCTGCTCACCACCTCATGCTCGCTGTGTCCCGCTCTCTGCTCTGAGGCCACCTGCCCGGAGACCCATGTCCTCCTCCTATCCAGCCCCACATGAGGGTCCTTGAGGACCCAGGCATGTGGAGCTCTGTGTGGCATTGTTCCCTCTTCCAGTCACGCTGACCCATGGTCTGAGGGCCCGGGTCGTCTTCACCTTTTGCTGGGGTTGGATCTGAGTGTCCCCAAAGGTCCATGGTGGCCAAGGCTTCCTCCCCATGGTGGCGCTAGTGGGAGGTGGTGAGGAGCAGCAGGGACCCAGCCCTGCGCCTCCTCTGGGCCCCTGGAGCAGAGGCGCTCTGCCTGGTGCTCCTGCCTCCCACCAGGTTCCAGAGCAACTGGACCAAGGGCTCCTGGTCGGAACGCTCAACACTGCGCCCAAGAAGACCTCCCCTCTTTCTGAGCTGATCTCCAGGAACAGAGGACTGACTCACCTTTGCCAGGAGGCAGGGACCAGGTCACGTCTGCCTCATGTCCCCCAAACTCAGCACAACACAAGCACATATGGGTACTTTGAGCACTCCATTGTGGGCGAATGACATTTTACACTATTATGACTTATCATAGCCAGGAGACTTTTATTGGAGCCACTGAAAAGGTCAGATTCATACTTGAAAAAAAAAGCCTTAGAATCTATGTAGCATTTCGCAACAGTCACAACTAAAGGTTATCCTTTCATTTAGGCTATCAGAATAATTGTCAGCATAATTAAAGGAAGAACTTGATTTCGATCCTTAAGAATCACTAAGCATCAGTCTCCCCCTTGCACGCATCTTCAGGATCTGGACAAGGGAAGGAAGCCCACTTAGCACTGCCCGATCGCCCGGAGACACGCGGCCACGTGCTTACTTTGTATTTGCTCTCTGATCTGGAAGGGGTAGGAATGTGTCCTTTTCTCTTAAAGGTTGTAAAGTGCTTGCACTGAGGACACGGCTTCGTGCTGGGATCGATGCGACCGAGTTCCAGGAAGTACTTGTACTGGATGGAGTCTTCGTGAGTCAGGTTGTAGACGACAGTCGTCTCTTCCAGGAATTCGAAGCACTCCGTGATGGGGCATCTGATTTCTACTTGGCCCAGTTGTACCTGGGAGAAAGGGCGCATGGGAGAAAACAAGAAGGGCTCTGGTTACTAAGTTTCTGTCCCTCTTCTTTCTGTGCATATGGTAGTGTTCGTTTCACAGCTGCATACGAAGTATCCCTTTTTATTTTAGGACACTGGCAGTGAATGGAAATCACTTAGACACCTGTTTCCCACAGCACCAGAATAATCGATATGTTTCCACAATGACTCAGGTGGGTGCTGTCTCCTCTGGATCATTATATTTGTGAATTTGAGGGAACCTGGGCAGCAGGGTCTCTGAAGAAGCAAACTGTCACCCTCCTTGTGTTACTTCAGGTGAGGCAACACTCAGACTGAGAGGTGCTCTGGGTTCTCAGTCTTTCCACAGGGTATTTCAGCACCAATCCCTGGGCATAGCTTACTCTTCTAAAACGATAAAACATGGATTTTTGTAAAGCACTTACATATAACATCTAGCAGTTTAAAAACCACTAGCCAAATGTAACTATTTTCCCTGAGCTTTTTCACACCACCAACAACAAATAGCTCCCAAGTCATCAGATTCTTGGTAACAGTGAAGAAAATTAAGCCAAACCAAAGGTGCAAAACAAAACAAGAAAAGTCCTTAAGAGATCTGGCTGCTCCTGATGTCATTCACAAAACTAATTTATTCAGAGGCTTACAAAGCCAGTTCTGGGGGAAGAGAAAGCTAAACCGGAAGGCACCCTTCAGCGTTTCTATGGGATAATACTACAGTGACAGGAAAGAGGGCACTAAAAGCTTCAAGCGCAACAAGCTACAGAAAATGCACGATGTTGGAGACAGGAAGTGCTAGACGGCCCCGAGGTGGTGAGTGACAGGCACCTCCGCTGGCTCTGCCCACCTGCACACAGAGAAGGACGCCTGGAAACACTCAGGTGGCCATGACTCTACACTCAGGTTTCTGCTGGGTGGCTGACATCCTCAAAATCAAAACCCACGCACCTAAAAAAGGAAGACTGAAGCGGCAATGGGAGAAAGCCACATGGTCTGGAGAAGAAAACACCACCAAAAATGCAATTAAAAATTAGTCACCAACTCCCTGTGACTTTCAACTTTGACATTTATTTGGCACAAACTTGAAGAAAGGAGTTGAATGTTACAGTTGACAGGTGCACTGTCAACTTCTGGCCGGCTTTGTTTCCTCTGCGCCCTGACAACACGATCTTCTCATCCCATCCTGAAGCAAATACCAGATATCACATAATTTCATTCACAAATACTTCCCTACAGGCCAAAAAAACAAGTCTTTTTAAAGCCGTAACCATGATACCATATATTTCCCCAAATATCAACTGTTGAGTATCAAATCAACATTTTTAACATGTCATTTAACTTATTTTTATAGATTTTGTGTACTTTAATGGTTAAAACAAAATTATTTTGCATTTCTGTTGTGTTCAAGGCTAATATAAGTATTTGTATCACTGAAAAATATGCTTTCAATTTTTCTGGAGAAAAGCATGTCTGTTCTTGCAGGGAAAAATTACTTAACTCTAAAACAATCTCCAAGGTGCTTGTGAGAGACGTTATTATCCACTTAACACCTGAGCTACATGGCTAATTCACCACCTGGGAGAGCTCAGAAGTAATTTAGTGACTCAGATGAGGGGAGCTCTGAGGTGGCAGATTCATTAACTAAATTCTCCACAGAGGACAGAGAAAAATGTAAACCTTGGGCCTCCAATCCAATCTGTCCAGTGTACGGTTTATGACTTTGAGCTTGGTTGCAAGTGTCTGTGAGAACTGACAGGAGGTCTTCGGCGCACTTGATACCCTGGGATTTCAGAGTTACTGTGTTCTGGAAATGGAACGCATTAGCACAAGAGGGGCAGAGCATGCCGGAACAGTAACCGCAGGCACAACACACATGGCACCTGCTACCTGCAAAGCACAGTTCCAGCACCCTGTGTGCATTCATCGCTTTGTGGGGCACCACGGCTGCAAAGCTCTCTGCGAGTTCACTGATTCCCTGTCACTTCATCAGCAGCGCCTGCAGGAAGGCGGATGCCTCACTGACACACAAGCTCTGCAGCCAACACCGCGCCCTCTGTCAGGTAGATGCCTGTGTGTTTAAGGGACACAAGGACTGAAACATCCAGCCTGGATTCTCAGTTCCAAGTAAGATTAACTAGGATGAAAACTGCACCTGGCATGTGACGTAAAAATGACAATACTGCAAACAAAGCAGTAACAAGAAGTGACCGCAGGAAAGAGGCAGGTTACCAAATGGGGAACTTCAACCCGAGGTGCTTGCTGATAAGTTCTACCAAGCACTAAGGCTGCGATAAGAACACTATGTAGCTGCTGTCAGAGAAGAGTCCCTGGCTGCCTGGCCCAGTTGCTCAGGGTGTGTGTGGCACAGAACATCACAGTGACTTCCTGTGGTTGAAGACTCCTGTTCATCTCAGGGTGGCGGGAAGTCAAAGAAAGAGGAAGAGGAGCAGGATGGGGGCCCAGAATCCCCTTCAAGGGAACATCCCCAGGACCTTACTTCTTCTCCTAGGCCCCACCTCCTACAGGATCCTCCCTGCCAAGAGCACCACGGGCTACAGACCAACCTCCAATCCCTGGGCCGCTGGGGGACAGACGCTGACCGTCCAACCCCATCTGTGGTATTCGGTTACAGTAGCCTAAACAGACTCAGCTCATACTGCACTCCTCACCTAGAAAAACAAAGCAGTAACTTGTTCTACAAAAGACGAGTGGTGAAGCCACAGTAGCTACAACAGTGTGGCCCTGAAACCCAGATAGAACAACACGAGGGAGAGCACAGAGCAATCCAACCCACTGGCCGCTCAGTGGGCTGTCGTGACGCAGTCGTGAGAGGCAGGTCTTCAGTACGTAGTCTGGGTCACTCACACGGCCACGAAAGCCAGATGCATTTGTTCTGCCCCTCAACCCTCGGTTCACGAACTCAGTTCTCTCCATGATTCTGGTCGCAAACTGAACTGGATAAGAACTGAATCAAATTTCCCCATAAGGTCAACACTGGACCTAACCATGGACGTGGATTCAGGTATCTTCCAACTTGGCTGGCGACAAGAATCATGGGAGGAATCAAGCTGGCTGCCTCTCCCTCTGCATCAGCTTGGCTCACATCTTCTCACCTTAACTGCTTATCAAATCACTTTACTGCAATGAGCCCAAGGATGAGATTCAATTCAGTATCCAAGTGGATATTAGATGCAAGTAGATACCAGACGTAAAGCACTCGTGCTACTTGTGGAATTTGGAGATGAATGCACGGGTACTCCGGGTGGGTTCCAGTTCTTTAGGAGACACACACAGATGTTAATGAGCACAGAGCAAATCCCGGCAGGAAGCACACAGGAGGGCTGGTTACCACTGCTCACCCAAGAGGAGACTTTGGGTCAAGCCACGAGGACGAGAAGGATCTCAGGGACAACATCTGGCTATGACTTGTACCTTAAACAGGAAAAATACAAATAATGATGTAAAGATGTAATGTCAGACAAGGGAGCATGACGAAACTGTACCTACGTAGTGAGTATGTGAAGGTGACCTCCAAAGACATGAGTTGAAAGTGGAGGAGGAAGCACTAAAACCTGACTTTCTAGGTTACAGAATTGCTTGTTTAATGTTCTAGAATTTTGGATAAATCTTGATAGTTATTTGTTTGTTTACAATTCTGGGGGTGAACCCAGGGCCTTTGCACTGAGCCACCTCCTGGCCCCTTTTAATGCTTGGTTTCGAGATAGGCTCTCGCTAAGCTGCTAAACTATCCAGGCTTGCTCTTGTGCTCTTCCCGCTGGGCCACAGTAGATGACAGGTCTAGCACTGACAGCAAAGCCAGCACCTGAGTCTCTGAACTGGCCTTGAGAATGAGACGGGGCGCTGACAAGCACAGGGTGGGATTCTGCTGGCAGAGCTCTGCATGTTTACATTTGTTTCTGAATGCACTCGGTGGTCCCGGAGCACATGAGACCAAAGCACTAGTGAACTCCAGCGTGGTCCCCACCCGTGGAGACCATGGAGACCATGGAGAAGGCAGCTGTGTCTCCACTAAGCTAATCTGCACGGGACGGTATCCTGTCACCCTCAGCTCAGCTCATTCGCAGGAAGCAATGTTCTCTGCATGCAGCTGATCCCAAAGCAGTTTTTACTAAAAAAAAAAAAAAAAAAAAAATCTAAAAACTTTCCTTCTTCAAACTGGTTTAAAAAATAAAATCACTCCTATGGTTGATACTTAAAAATTGGAGTTGCTCCAAGTTTGACACGATGAATAATGACACATTCTATATTTTTAATTACAACGCTTTAAGTTTTTTTGTGCCTACACGTCTTGGTCTTTTGAAATCAGCAAGTACCAGTGCTTCTAAGATCTTAAACCAAGTTAACATATTGCTTAAACTTAAGAGACTTTTCATGCTGAAACAAAGTGTCTTTGTGCTCATCCACAGTCCGGATGAGCTCTTACCTGCAGATTTTAGATTCAATGACCAAAGAAATAATTTCTTCCTTTCTTGCATCTACATACTATTTCCTGATATGAAATACTACTTAGTGTATCTACACTATGTCCCAAGAACTGAATTGAAATGTATTTGAATGTGAAAAGAGAAATGTGTATGTTTTTTAAAAAAACTATATTCTCTTTTGATGTTGGAATTTAATACCTTCAATGTAAAGAGAAAACACTCTAGTATTATATAGCGATCCCTTTAAAACATGACTGGGATAGGGATACACTTAAATTCTTACTGGAAACTGTGATTAGACTGAAAACAGACTGAAAAATTCAGTGTGAAATGTACTGATGTACCGCAAATAAATTTGGAAAGACCTGCTCTACTTTCAACTGACCTTTTGAATTTCTTTTGGGGATGAAAACAATTAAAATCTCTTGACTTTGCCACTGGCCAATGAAAGGTAAGTATTTCCTAATGTGCTAGAAATGAGATAGATCAAAAGTGAAGTTCTTTAATTGAAATAGCAATTCACTTTTAAAAACTGGATATGGT